ACCTACCTAACCCAAAGGTCAATGGCGACTCTATCCAATTTATTCAAATTAACCCAAAATCACAAATTTTCCCAAATTAAAATCATTATCTTTTTTTAAAACAATATTTAATTGATTTTTCAAAAAATGGTTATGACAAATCCGAATTTAGATATTTTTGAAATTTATTATAAAGAAGCTCGGTCATTTTCAAAATGTTTTTGAGTAGAGAGTTCAGCATTCCTTGAATTCATTCATACATGAGATAAAGAAAATAAAACCTTCACTAGAAACTCAACATTCATTTAAACTAGAGCCTTTATATCGGGTAATCTAATTCAGAGATTGGGAAAAAAAAGACGACGGATGAGCCGCTACAATCAGACTTCGGACATCGGAAACTCAATATAAAGGCTCTAGTTCAAATGAATACAACATGCACTTGATCCAGCCATGGTGTCTGCGATTTTTCAAGAGTATGAATATATGAATTAAATGAGCAGCTATACTTTTTCAAGAGTATGAATATATGAATTAAATAAGCAGCTATACTTTTTCAAGAGTATGAATATATGAATTAAATGAGCAGCTATACTTTTTCAAGAGTATGAATAATGCAATTAATCCAAATGATTGGGGCTTGGAACTTGGAGGTTGATCTTCCAGTAACCTTCAAAAAATTCGCACAATCATTGTTGAATGAAAATAAATCATGTTTAAAGACTAGACGTTTAGAAATTTCACCATTATTGAATGATTCCTGGAATGTACATAGCATACACTGAAAATAACAAAATCCCAGAAATTTACAGTGAGATATTCATATGTTCATTTTCTGGAACAATGTGTTTATGAAGAGTTGTGCTTTGAAGTTTACTTGTGGTTCCAATGTTTAAGGCCTTTTGGCTACTCTTTCTGTGAATGTTGCACTGTTCATGCCAGAACCCATCTGCAAGAGTAATTTGTCCAGAAAAGGGGATAAATAATGGAGCTATACTTGTATCATTCATGTTCGGAATCCGATATGAGTGTCAGATTTGAATATGTGATCGATATGAGTATGTCGAATTCTATGTATCTGCAAGGTCCTTGAAGAGTCATACCTCGGTGAGGAGTGCATAAAAGAGGCAGGGTTAAATAACAGCAAAGGAACTGCACAATTACACCCATCACCATCCTTATGGAAAAGTCCTCGGTTCCTTGATTGAAGCACGAATTTAGCTCAACCTGGGAAGTAACTGGCGGTAATGAATAACATGCAAGCAAAGATTCTTTTCGATCCTAAAATGTTGAAAACGAAAGTGCATATCCTAGCATCTGTCAATCATCAATGAATAACCTGCAATATCAATATGTTAGAATCTGAACTTAGAAAGCTCACACTGAAACTTCAGATAGCCTGTAAAGATGATCACAGTTACCATTATCTGAGTAAAGCAGATCAATTGAACATCTTCATTGCTTTTATTGAAACCATCTTTTGAAAACAACACTTTCTTAAACACCTGCAAAAGTAGCATAAGTTATTATCATCTTGTTCCAGAGAATAGTCATATATGTCCATCAGAAAAGGCTATGAAATTACTTGATTTCTAAAATGGTTTCTCACCTGTGGCTTAAAACTATCAATCTCTCGCACTCTTTGATTTCAAGTCTCTGCAGGGACTGAAACTACCAATCTTGTGCACCTCTTCCAAACCACCAATGGAAAGACCTTTTAACAATGGAGACTTTCAATCTACTTCTCTCGGGATGAAATTTTTACAATCGAGTACAACCTTTGGTATGTGGGAAATCTTGGACCATTCTTTTCCTTTAAGGCTGGTGCACTCTTGTTTTAGCAACGGACAATCCGAGATAAATAGCATCCCAAGCGAGAGAAGCATGTCCTTTTCCGGAAGAGATGTGAGCTTTGGACATTCGCTGATTTTTCAATTGTTCAAGAGAGGTGAGGTTCTGAAAGCCTCTGGAGCACATGAACTCCAGATTAATGAAATTACTAATGTGGATAGAGATAAGAGAAGGAGGCAGCATCATTCCAGTCCTTTCTTCGGGAAACGACACCACATTTAAGCATCCAATGGAGGGATTTTGAAGATAGGTAAGTCTATGGAATCCCCATTCAACAAGTGAGCAATAAATCTTGGGTGCGCCCTAGATTACAAGTGATGTAAGGCTGGTAGGGAAGCGGTCTTCTGGAAAGGATACGCTGCCCCACAGTTGTACACCGTTAACTTGCCAAGGGAGGTGAAGCTGTTGATGCACTTTGGAAGGGCTCCAATATTTTCACAATTCATGATCTCTCAAAAACTCTGAGATTTGAGGTGGGCAGTCCGATTTCTTCAAAACAAACCACCAGATTTGAACAATAGCTTAGAGAAATCTTTTGGAGATGGCCGAGCTTGTCTAATCCTCGTGGTAAAGATGTAATATTTTTAGCACCCCAAAATTCAAGAACTTCGAGATCAGTGGTTTCATGGAAGTCTTGGGCTATGCACTCCAACACCGGACACCCCCAAATCTCTAGCTTTTTAAGCATTTTGGGTAACTTTGGGTTACACAACTTTGGGCAATTTTGAATTCGAAGATGTTGAAGCGGATTGCATACATCGCCTCTCGAAGATAACCATATCAGAGATGAACAGTCTAGCACTACCAAGTGCTCAAGAAGACGAGTGTTACTACTATACATACTCTCATCAAACAACTATTGCAAATTCTCACAACCCCAAATCCTCAATTCTTTTAGAGCAGGGGGGAAGTTACTCTCTGTAAAAGAAACCAAACCTTCACAGTTTATTAGTTCCATTCTCGTAAGGAATGCATGCAACACTTTCGGTGGCAAATTGGAATCATTAGCTCCAAAATTTGTTGAGTTTGCGAACCTCAACATTTTCCTCTTAGCTGCAATACTGAACTTGGAAATGCTTGAAAGATTCACACTTTGCAAACAGCTAACCTCCTCGACTATCAATTGAGAAACTTTGAAACTTGCTCATCATCTTCACAAGCGTCCCACTCCTCCCAGTTTGGTAGACTATCAAAAGACAAATTCTCTAAACATGCAAACGCAATTGATTGGTTTTCTCCAAACATGCAAACGCAATTGATTGGTTTTCTCCAAACAACTCAATACCAATCTTGTGCACCTCATCCAAACCACCAATCGAAAGATCTTTTAACGATGACAACCTTCCAACCAGTGGCAGTGATTTGCAGTTTTTACAATTGCGTAGCTCCAAAGAGGACAAATTCTTGAAGGAAGAATCTGTTATCCAAGTGGGGAACTTTGCAATACCAAAGTTCTTGATGTCGAGTTGCTCAAGCTTTTCCTGAGGACGAAGTGAGTCCAACACTCGTTCTTCAACTTCATTCTTCCTTATAGGTTTCTGGAAGTCTCTACTCCATCGTAGTACCAACGTATTGATCCCCGATTTCTCATTCAACCTGGCTTCCCATGCATCTTCACCATTTACATTTTCTAAACCCAAAAAACAAAAGTCACCTCTGAGATTCGACAAATTCTTCAATTCTCCAATACGATGTCCATCACCTTCACCTATAACAAAATCAGATGACCTTTGAAGATTGATCAGATTACCAATTCCTAGAGGCATCTTTTGTAGTGAGCGCGCACCTCTAATATCAAGACAATGCAAGTTAAAAAGATTTCCCATCTTCGAAGGTAATTCTTGTAGCATATAACACTCTTTTAATCACAAAGTTTCCAAATGGTAAAGAGTGCACAAGGAATCAGGTAAACATAGTATGGGAAAGATTGAAGTAGCGCAGATGTTTTAAATTTTGCGAGCAATCAGGCAACTCAGTGATCCAATATCTACCCAAAGAAAGCACCCTTAAGTAGTAAAGTCTCTGCAATAATTCAACCAAGACATCATTTGTCAAGTAATAGGAACGCCACCAACGAACTTGCTTTAACGGTAGAAAAGTACGTAAAGAAATTTCTTGATCAAATGCTTCAAACATCTTCACTGTGCCATACTCACCGGCAATATAAGACGAATGACTCGAATGATATGAAACCATATGTTGCTTATTGTCCTCTAGTCTGCAGAATATATCTCCTGCAACTAGCTGAGCCAAATCGTTGATAAGGTTGTGCATTACGTACCGTGATTCATCTTTACTAGATATCTGAAAAAATGACATTGACACGAGATCTTGAAAATATCGGTTTCCAATATCTTTAATGTGTTGTTTAGCTTTTTGTTGCAAGAAACATTCTGCACTCCATAACAAGATTATCTCTTCTTCGAATTCATAATCTTTTGGAAATATGGAGCAGTATGCAAAGCAGCGTTTCAAATGAGAAGGAAGATGATGATAACTTAATCACAATGCAGGAATTATGCCGCATTGATTTTCTGGTAAGTCCCGTATCTCACTCTCATATATTCTTTCCCATTCATCAAGATTCTTGTCGTACGTAAGAAGCTTCCAATGGCTTTTGCTGCTAAAGGTAAACCGTTGCACCTGCTCACTATGTTCTCTCCAACTTGTTTAAATTGAAGATGTCCATCGAAATTTCTTGCTCTTAATGCATGCTGACAGAATATGGACAAACATTCATCTTGTGATAGTTTATCCAAGTGAAAAGCTTTCATTAGATCCACAATAGATGAAACATTTTGAAGGCGAGTAGTTACGATAATCTTAGTCATTGCTCCAAAGGGCGACCGTAAGATGGTCCAATCATCGTAACTCTCATTCCAAAGGTCATCTGAAACAAGTAAGACTCTTTTTCCAGATAACTTCTCCTTCAACTTGACTTGAAGTAGATTCAAGTCATTCACATCGAAGGATCGATGGATTGTAAACTAGTATTGGTTATTTTAACAGCATCAAAGTCATCAGAAACACATATCCATGCCCTGTGATCAAAAGACTTCTCGATGCTAGCATCATTGTAGACAAGCTGAGCAAGAGTTGTTTTCCCCATCCCTCCCATGGAAACAATGGAAAGGACTGAAACTCCATTGGAGCTATTAGTTTTGAGCAAATCAAGCATTTCTCGTTTTTTGTTGTCTCTGCCGACATACTCCACAGCTCCATCCATCAGGTAAGTAGGTTGAAGCCTGGCCGGTTTCTTTCGCTCCGAGCTTGCAGCTCGAGGCAACATCTCACTCAACCCCAAACTACTTCTTCGTGTAACCAGACTGTTGAGTCTAGCAGTGAGGCCTTTCATCTTGGGAATCATGTCATTTTTAAATAGAAATGAAGACGGAGTGAAATCAGTACCGGTACAGCAGGTAGGAAGGAGTTTTCGTACCATACTAGTGCTGGCCTGAGCCTGAGTTTTGTGGAGATTGAGACGTAACTGTTCATATGCAAAGTCGTCCAGGATGTCATCCGCATCGTAAGCCAAGTCTTGGAGATCTTCCAACCAACTCTTCACACCTTGTCCTTGATCTGCTTCTCCTCTGCGTGGTTCAGCACTGCTTTGATATCGGACTATGGATTTCCACTCCTTGAGCTGGTCATACACTTGCTTGTGATCAGCAACAAAGTTGAGCGCAGCATCGATGGACTTGCCGAGCAACAGCTCCAAAAGCTTAGAAAGAGCAGCCTCTCCGATGAAAGCCATGGTGGGATTACGAGAAAGAAGCTGAAGAAGCAAAAGGAAAATTCAGGGTAGGAGGAAGAAAACAGAAAGAATGCGTTGAAGTTAATGGATTGTGACCCCCGAGTGGTTGTTGGAGGGTAACATTCATAGGAAAACTCAAAAGGAAAGAGGAAAAGCCATTGAAAATTCCCATTATTTTGTCTGCCTGCAACACATTGGACTACAAGAACATGCTATTGTGGCCATGTGCCATACACCTTGGCTTTCTGGCTTTAGTGGCATCTAAGGGCCAGATATCTAATTAAATAGTATTTCCATAACATAAACTTATTTTTCAATGTAACCCTTTAATTTTTTATCCACATCAATCCTCGAGGACCTAAACTTATTTTCCTAATTTTTAATCGGGTTGATGGCTCCACACTCTGAAATTGTGAAATATGACACGATTTCAAAATACTAGATCATCAAAATCCAAGTTTAAAGATTGTTGTGGACCAAAATTCTGTGGGTTCCGCTCCACGAATGAGGTTCATGCAACAACGCCGTGCCTCTTGCATGTCAAGCTTCACAATTAAACGGATGGCTGCTGAAGGAGCATGGATGCCCGCGGTTGGTAATGTTGCTACCATGATGTGCTTTGCTATATGCCTGATTATAAACGTCAATCTCACCGGTGCTCAAACCAGGCAATATTCTTCCTGGCTCCCATATTACTGCTGCTCAACCAGGACTCAGATTTCGTTGCCGGATTCGGGGATAAACAGAGGTATTTCCCCATTACGGTGGCCATATCAGTCTATTTGGTCATAACCTCATTATACAGCATATGGGAAGATGTGTGTTTTTGTACAATATTTTTTGGCAATTTTCAGGTGAGATTGTTGGTCAAAATTGAGGGTGGTTTCAAGTTCACTCTAATCTTAGATATTAAGTATGATTAAAAAAAATAGTGTGGTGACTAAAATAGAACTGTGAAAATAAGTGAATGATTGAATACATATTTTACCCTAGATATTATTAAGTGTGATTATGGATGGGCATCGGTCGGGTCGGGTTTTTGGTCCACCCGACCCGACCCGAGAACAAGGGAGCCTCCACCCGAGACCCGACCCGACCCGACAAAAATAAGGTTTCATCCGACCCGACCTGACCCGAATATATGACTTAGAAACCCGACCTGACCCGAAATAATAAAAAAATTATTTTATTCAATAAAAACAGTGACTTAATTGAAAAAAATTATATATAGATGGATATTATTGTAATTATCCCTAAATATATAGGGTAAAATTATATATTTTTTCGGGTCAGGTCGGGTTTTTTCACCCTAAATCCGAACCCGACCCGAACAGTGCATAAAAAACCTGACCCAACCCTAAATTATTTTAGAAAAATTCAACCCTATCGGGTCGGGTACTGGGTCGGAACCCGTCGGGTTAGGTCAGATGACCATCCCTAAGTGTGATGTAATCAAACTAGTCAGTGGTAACTAGGGGAGAGCACAACCGAAGTAATAGAACAAAATTATTGTTATTGGGTTATTATCACGGTTAATTAATTTCAACCGTCGGATGAAAAGAGTAATTATGAGCCGTCGGATTATTGTTATATTCTCAGTCCAACTTCCCTAAAAACTCTCTCCCTTCCATCCAGCAAACCTTAAACCCTAATCGTCCCTTTTGTTATCGATTTACAATTTATTTTCTCCTTTTCCTCTTATTTTTAAATCTAAAGTGTTGATCGTTTGAGATATTTTGTGAATTCGGCTTTGTTGAGAACATGAATTCTGAAGTGAACGCTTATAGACCTCCACCAGAATTCGATGAAGATTCTTCTCAGCAATTAGTCGATCTTACGCTATCGGACTCCACGGAGCTTTTCCTCATTCAGTGGCCTCTTCACCAAGTAAATATTTCATTATTATTTTTTAATAAAATTCCTTTATGCCTTGCTTATGCTCTTTAATATTTTTTTTGTTATTATTAATTTGAACTTGGGAATTGTTTATGTTTTCATTTTGTTATGTTTACTGTTGTTGCAGAATCCTGAAATTAATGGCGAAGTAGTTACTCTTCAGCTCGACTCTGATGGAAAATTAGGCAGTTTTACAGATTCTACTGGTATTTTATCTTATATGGATCTTAGTTTAGTTTTGTTATGGCTGAGTCTGAACTATATAATTTTATATAGTTTCCAGTTGAATTTTTACATTGATGTTTTGATATAAAAAAAGCTAGTTCTGATTTGCTTACTATTTGCTCGAATATGGCAGGAAAGGATTATGATCTTGTTAGCAGTACATCTAAAGTGAGTGATGCAACGGTTATCTTTTCCTCTGGATCGGAGTCCAAAATCGGTATGAAGTTTTGCATTTTTTAGTGCCTGCATCGTTTACTTCTCGCCTTTTTAAAGTTTGAAAATCAATTGTCAAATTCCTTTTCAAAATCAAAGAATGGAAGGTTGAATGGACCTCCCGGTGCCGAGGTGATTGTTTATATTTCTAGATCATAATTTGTTTATTTGTTTGTTCTTTTATGTTTATGTATCGTCTAGACACTTAATTCGATTTGTTTTTCATTTGAATTGGACACTTGGATTCGATTGCTAAACTCTGATGAAACCGCTCTGGCATTAATGTATGTCTGTCGGGATAGATCGAATTTTCATTCTATTATTAGATATCAAACTAGTTCTTCAACGCAAGAAGACATTGTTTCACATCTAGGTGTCGTATTCACTCTATTTTACGATGCTGTTAATATATTGAAATGGTTTGATATAACTAGAGGCATCAGCTTGAGAATGGCTGACATTGTAGACAGAGATCTTGCACATGCTTTTATCACATTTATTCTTCATTATTCGTCACCGATCCTTTGCTCAGTTTTATATTCATCACGTGTGTTGTTAATGTTTCGGTAACTGTGTGGTTTCTTGGTTGTGATTGTAGCGATTACTGACTAAACTGTTTGAATTTGGTTTTGTATTGCAAATGAATTGGTGCATTTCCCTGATTTTGATATCTTTCTTGATAGTTGGGAAGATTTCGCGACGAGTTTCTCTTGTACATTACACGACTCCTGAAGAATACGAACAGCTCAGTTCTAACAAGAAGCTGATACATCAAAGATCCTCCGGAATGACTGATTCTTTTGCAACTCCGATGCAAAGCAAAGGGCGGAGAAGTTCAATGTCTTTGGGGCGGACTGTCAGCACACATGGTAGTCGACAAAAAAATACAGTCTCTGGAATCAATGAACAATCTAAGCCTTCAAAAAGAAAACATGGTAACGAATCGAAAGGATCCATGAACCAACCAACACCGAGTCACGAGACAACTCCGATTTCAGGGTCTTTGAAGCATGGAAGTGCCCACAAATCAAAGAAAGTAAAGAATGAGGAATGATGCCTCGTCTTTTTCGGGTATCGATTCCCTTACTTAGACATGAAGTTTGTCTGAGCTGCACTCTTCTTCTTTCCGCTTTCAATTGAAATCTTGCTGCTTTTCGCATTATCGTGGAGGCTTGATTCCTTTTTCCAAACGTCGTCGACTGTAGATGTCTTTACACTATAGCAAATTTCGTAGTTTTTTTTTAAGTGATGTCTTTACACTATAGCAAATTTCGTAGTTTTTTTTTTTAAGTAATCTCTTACTTGACTTATTTCTCTAAGCCTCTTGGTTTGATGTCAATCGAAGATTTGATACAAGTCCTTTGTTACTTCACCTGTGGTTCGGGTTTGATGTGCAATGTTGAGTAACAAGCACTTTTTTTTTATCAATATGGGGTAAGTACAAGACAATATTTGTTCAAAGAAAACTTTCAATCTTTCGATATTGAATGCTCACACCCATAATATTCATGGTGTTTGAACTCGAGTTCTCAAATAATAACAATAATTCATTTATCATGAAGTTCATTTTGTTCATGTTAATAAAAAACATTTTTAAGTACCCACCATAAGCCATTCTTGAAACTGTATGTTCCCTGGAAAGCTGGAACTACCTAAAAGATGCTTGAAAAATACAGTGCTTCCATTTTTATATTATGATTACATGGGTTGTCGGATACCTAAATTTGCATCACTTGTTTAAAAATATGTTGTTTTATCTTAATATGTAAAGGTAAGTACTTTTATTTTTTGGGTAAATTATAAATTTGGTAATTAAATTTTACTCTCTTATTTTATTTATTGTATTTTAATTTTTTTCAATTTTCTAATTGAACTTAACACATTGAGTTTTTTGTCACTCAGCCGTTAAATAGTTAACGACATTAAAATGGACAGTTATATAGATGCAAAAAGATGTAGTTTTGGTAAAAAATTTTAGTTTTTCAAAATGGTATCATTTTTAACGTTGTTGACTATTAAACGGCGGAGTAATCAAAATAGGATAGAGTAAAATTCAATGACAAAATAAACTTAAAATGTATTAAGTTCAGTGAAGAAATTGAAAACTTTCAAAGTTCAATAAATAAAATAAGAGGAAGAGTAAAGTTAAATGATGAAATTTGTAATTTACCCATTAAATTTTTTTACATGGATAATATAATATATAAAATTAAAAAAAAATATCAAACTGAATTTAAACTTTAAAAAGTTAAAATCCAAACCTAACTAACTTATAAATTAACCTAATTTTTACTTTAAATTCATTATTTGACTAACAAATTTTGAAAATTATAGAAAGACCAATAGATTAAATTACTATTATTTTCATCTAACTTTTAAAATTTTAAATTAATTCTCAATAAGTTGATTTTCGGTTCAAGGAAAAATCCTTATATAAGTATAAATCATATATTTCAAAGGCTTAAATTATATTCATTTAATAATTTTAAATAATATTTTGTTTTAAAATAATATAAATATAATAGATGTCACTTAACAATTCTTTTAACAATAGACATATAAAAATTTAATAAAAATATTAAACATCTATTTTTAATAAAAAAATTATTTAGATACTAAAAAATAATATAATATATATTTCGGTGCCTAAAATAGACTAAACCTACTTAAAATTAAGGAGAGCGGAAAAATAACTTCCGTCATCATTTAATACTCCTTTTTCAACCACTACTGTCCTCTGTTTCTTCCCCCCTGTCACACTGTCTTTTGTTTTCGTTTAAATATCGTGACAGAGACAGAGACAGAGACATAGACAGAGAGAATTCCAGCTTCAATGGAGAAGGAGAAGAAAGCAAAGGAAACTGAAGAAAATCACGAAGAAGAAGAAGAAGAAGAAATAGAATTCAAAGACTGTGAAAATGAAGGCCAAGAGGAAGAGCAAAAGGAATCCATTGGCGATGAGGTAGAACGAAGCAAAAATCGGTATCATGAGAGCTCTCGCCGAAAGAGAAGACCCATCTGCTAAGGTACCCTTTTTTTGTTGTTTTTTCAACTTTTTTGACTCTGGGTTTCTCTTTTAAGTACCCAGATTTTGACTTCACTTGAGTCTTGTTGGTTTTCAAAAAAGGATGCTGATGATTTTATGATCCGGAGATTCCTTCGAGCTCGTGATTTGGATATAGAGAAAGCAACCGCCATGTTCTTGAAGTACTTAAGCTGGAGAAGAACGTTTTTGCCCAAAGGATTCGTATCCGAATCGGAGATTTCAACTCAATTAGCTGATAACAAGCTTTGTATGCAAGGGGTTGATAAACAGGGTCGGCCTATTGTTGTTACCTTTGGGGGTCGACATAAGCCCACCAAAGGAAACCTGGAGGAAGTCAAACGTTTGTTTTCTTTTATGCATTTGTTGTTTAACAGATTCCCCAGAATTTTGCAGCTTCTATTTTGTTCTGTCTCTTGCCATTTTATCTTGAAGGCGCAGATTTTTGGACTCACCTTGTGATATGGCTTACTTTGCAGGCTTCGTTGTGTATGGTTTAGAGAAAATTTGTGCCAGGTATACAGCTTTATCCTACTTTAGCTATGAGTGTCCGACGGAGTTTTGAATAAGATAGAGCTCAAGCGAATTTGTTAGTTGTGAGTATCGGATCATAAGAGTATGTTTCGACTTTTGTTCGAGTGAACCAGACCCGAATTATTAGAACTTGTGATGTGAAACTGTTTGCTTATGATTAGCCAGACCCTCATATATATCCCCATGGATCACCATGGGAAATGAGAAAGGTCCGTGATCATGAATGCATATGAACTGCTTCGAACCGAGATGTATAGTTGAGTTTTGTTATATGCCAACATGGCCAAACATGCTTATATTCTATCCTTTTTGTGTTCTAGAATGCCAAAAGGACAAGAGAAGTTTGTGGCAATTGGTGATCTCGAAGGATGGGGATACTCGAACAGTGATATTCGTGCATATTTGGCATCTCTATCAATTCTCCAGGTTTGTTCTTCAAACGTCTAGTGGTCATTGAAGATCAAATGCATTACATGTTACATCAGATGACTTTTACAGAACTCTTCCATCTCGGTCTATATTTCTCCGACTCTTCATTTTTGTTGAAGTCCGTGTTTGTGATTACAGGATTGCTACCCGGAGAGGCTTGGGAAATTGCTTATTGTTCATGCGCCCTACATATTCATGACTTCCTGGAAGGTTGTTTACCCATTCATCGACAGCCGAACCAAGAAGAAGGTAAAAGCCTTGCTATGTCACCTTGATTTACTGTGCTCCGACTTTTCATTTTTCTTGAAATACTCATGCATGACTCTTATAGCGTATATAATCCTTCAATGACCCTCAAAACACTTGGAAATCTTGGAAAATTCGAATCAATCCGTATACTCGTGAACAACGAGGGTGTTGGTTCGGATGTCCTCGAAAACCACTCTGATTCCCCCCGATTTCCTTCATTTTTTGCAGATTGTTTTTGTTGAGAACAAAAAGCTGAAATCCACTTTGCTCAAGGACATTGATGAAAGCCAACTTCCAGATATATATGGAGGTAAATTGCCATTGGTTCCTATTGAGGAATGCTAACTTGACCCCCTAGTTTCCTTCTTTACTTGCACTACAGGCTACAGCTTGTATATTGAGATTATATTGACAATATGCACTCTTTGGATATTTATGCGGTTTAAATTAATATTAAAATCATATCCTATTTATTTAACTATTTTTTCACGAATAATCGATTCATGTAGTCGATATAGTATCGGTATCGGTCGATATATATCGATTTTTATCGGATTATATTGATTTTACTAGTTCAATATCAGTCGTATTGGCGTGTACAGGTTGAAGTAAATATTTTTTTTTGAAAAAAAAGTCACTTATTTGTAGGTCTGTAACCGACGTTGAGCGAACTATTCGTAAACCGTTTGACGAAAGTTCGTTTATATTCTTTTATTTATTAAACGAACGAACATGAATAAGATTTTATGTTCGTTTAATTAAATGAACGAACATGAACAAAAAATTTGTTTGTTCATTTACGTTCGTGAACGTTCGATCATTTATTTGTTTGTGTTCTCCAGACCCGTTCGAAATATTATGGTTTAATAAATTTTAACCTTTAATCCAATAATATTTTTAAACTCAATTAATTATTAATTTATTTCTATATGAACTAAATTTGATCAAATTATAAAGATTAAATCTACAAACAATACAAAAAAATACTCTATCTATTTAGTAACTCATATTTATATATAATATAAAATATTAAAAAAATGTCAAAAAAATTCTGAAATAATACGCCGAAAACACGTCACTATCAATTTCAATATCACCGACACGTGTTAAATAAAATTCTGTGGCGCTGGTGGTCACATGGATGTACATGGCGTGTAACAATGGCTACCTTGTTAAAGGAATAGCCATTTGTAAAATCTTCAGCTTGATTCAAGCTGGTACACAGAGATGCACAGAAGCCGGATTTTAATCCGATTCGGATCGGATAAAAACCGATCCAGTTTTTTCTCCCAACCCAAAAACCGAATTTTAAAAAAATATATTCGGATCCTAACCGGTTTAGAGGGTCGAATGGTGTAACCGGTTTCGGTTTGCAAAAAATCGGTTTTTAAAAAAAAACCGGATTTTTTCGGATAAAAAACCGGGTTTTTATCCGATTTGAAAAAAACCGGTTTTTAATCCGGCAAAAAAACCGGTCGTTCAATTTTTTCTCAAACCGGTTATACTATCCGGTTTTTAAATATCCGATCTGGTTTAAAAAAAACCGATTTTTCCAGAATCCGGTTTCGGATATTTTTTACCCAAAATCGGATATTCGGATTTTTTGTGCACCACTACTTGTACACGCCAATATTCCAAGTGTTGTCCCCTTCATCACCACAATTCCGGTTTTTTGCCAATTCGATCCAAAAATTTTATATTCTCCATCCGACCGAGCTCAAAAAATATATTCTCCACCTAATTTTGATCCGATCCAATTTTTTAAAATATATATTCGACCTGACTCAACTCAACCAGATATAAAATAAGAACTTAATTTAAAATGATAAAAAAATTAATGAAATTACACTATTATATTCGGGTCGTGTCGGAGTTGTTCACCCTCCAACCGAACCCAATCTCACCCTTTAAAAAATCCGATCCGATCTGACCTGAACATGATTTTTTTAAAAAGAAATCGACCCTATCAGATCAGGTCAAACCCGTCGAAATAGAGTTAAATTGCCGTCTCTAGACCTAACTTATGTACTAGGAACAACGGTTTGCTACGCTATTTAAATTTAGATGTGAATATCGAATATTATTAAAAAGAAAAACAATAAATCTTGTTTTCATTATTCAGAACATTGGCTCATCTTAAAGCAAACAGCAGATACAAAATCCATAATAACCGAATAAATCGAATGCAATCCTCTTGTGCAGAGAAAAATCATGTTATGACAATTTGCAGCAAGACTATTGTTGCACACAAAAGAGAAAAGGTTTTGGCATAATTCTCACCCGATTAGCAACTTGTTCTCTTCCAAGAAGCTGTATGTGGGTACCTCTAGATTGTATGGTGCCGGCCCTTTGCGGATCCTACCAGACACGTCATAATGTGAGCCATGGCATGGACAGAACCAGCCACCATAGTCGCCAGCGTTTGGCAGGGGAATGCACCCCAAATGGGTGCAAACACCTACGACGACAAGCCATTCTGGATTCTTAACCCTGACTGCATCCTCTTGTGGATCACGAAGGGATGCAATGTCGACGTTGTTAGCCGTCTTGATGTCCTCTTCGGTTCTACGTCTGATAAAAACAGGCTTTCCTCTCCACTTGACGGTAACAGTACTCCCGGGCTCTATGCTAGAAAGGTCAACCTCAAGGGAAGCGAGGGCAAGGACATCTTTGCTGGCAGACATGCTCAGAACGAACTTGAGGACCAGAAGACGGATCAAAGAGGCATAAACAAACCTGCCACCGGTCAAGACGAAATAAGCAAAAGCACGCTTGCTGGGATCACCAGGTGGAAACCGCTCATGATTATACTCGTCATAAACGATCTTCAAAGTAGGGTTCTTCACAGCTGCCACAGTAGCAGGGAGATCTGAGATCATTCCCATATCATGTCCTCGGCTGAGGGAATCCGAAGAAAAACCTGGAAAATGGTAAAATAACTGTCATATGCTATTACAAAAGCACATGTACTTATTACAACAGATCAACCAACACAACTAAACCATACATGTCATCACTCGAGGTCAAGTAGCATAGTCTCGCATATCAAAAACCTCAACATAGTTTTATCTTCAAAGAACTAACATCCTAAATGGCACATGAGTTAATTGAACTCGTGATCATTTACTAAAAATTTGAATAGTTAACGTGAAATATAACAGTGGCTTGAAATGTGCAAATTCTCCGTCTTTGCGCATATATGAGTGGCTGCTCCACTGCTTCTCACTTATGCAGGCAAAGGATCACAAATCTCTTTACATTTTTAATTTTACTCATTTCCATTGCATAAAAAAGCACAATGTAGCTGCTTAATTTAATAAAAGCATAAATGAATGGTATAATCTTCACATACGAAAAACTGAAACAAAATAAACATCAAATTTCTTCAACACCAGAAGCTATAAATGCAATCATCAGTGCATATCATACAAATTCGGTCTGAAATCATTTTCCAGATATAATAAGGAATCTAGTAATAAATAGAAATATAAAAATCCAAAAAGACAGGTTATTGAATCTATATTCTTTAACTTCGACGCAATTAGAGAAATCACAAAATCTAGCATATCATCACAAACGCTACTATCTCATCGATAAGAATAGAGAAATAATACAGAAGAAATCAAACGGAAACCTATAAATAACGAAAGGAAAAAATAAAATGGAGAAAATTGACCTCTGATTAGATTCGGAAGCTGCGAGTTGAAGGAGAAATGAGAAAGAGAGGGAACCGATCTGGAAATGGAAGGCGATTCAGAACAGGCGGCGGGATTGTTTGGATAGAGAGCGGTGGAGGACCGCAATGGAAGAGAGCAGAATTTTCTCCCTGCAACTCTTAGCATCTTTGGATCTTGTTTGATTGCTTAGGGTTTCGATGGGAAAATTTTCTCTTCTCTGAAACTTTAATGCATTTTCAAGAGGCAATGAAACGACATGTCGTTTTTCTTATTGTTTTGACTGTTGAAAAGCTACGGTGTCGTTTCGAAGCCGAATGAACGAGCTTAAGAGACCAGGTCATAGAGGTGGCTGGGCCAGTTCGGGCTACTGAATAAACGGAAATTATTACTGAATTAAGGTGAAATGACTTTTTTATCATTAAACTTTTAACGATTATAAAATTATTATAAAATAATGTTATATTTTTAACTAATTTATGAATTATTTTATAAAAAGTTCAAATTTAATGAGTATTTTATAATAGTTTAATAAAGTTCAACAATTTGATTAGTGACTATTTATAAATTTTACCCGTGACTTAATTGATAATTTGCAACATTTTATGTATCACGTGTTCGTATTTAGAAGCCAACTATTGAATAAAAAAATTATTACATTAATGACAAAGGCGCAAATCTTTAAAGTTATAGGGGATTAAAACAACAAATTTAGGTGATTTCTGTTGTACTTAACTCTTACAGTATTTACATTACACTAAAGTTTTCATGCTATTGTCACAAACCGCAAGCCCACAACTGAGATTAGCACACGAGAAGTATCCCAAGAGTACTTAGGTGACGTTTTGGACCTTCCTGGACCCATGAAGACTAGCCCATTCCATGGAGATTAATAGCATTGCACATTTATGGCAGGAGAATCCTTGGTTTAATGCAAAATCCTCATGATTCTTTCCATAAACTTTGTAATATTTTATCTAAGGCAACATATAACTAGCTTGATAGAGTTTCCTTAGTTAAGAGAAGATTTTGTAATCACAATCCCTTTATTGGTGGGTTAGGAGATTGTATTTGATCTAGGTCGTCGATGTACTTAGATCTTAGTCGTTTATTGAGGGGAGCTTCCACTATAAATAGAGGTCTCTTCTCCTCATTTGTATTCACTTCTTCATTTTGAGAAATCACATAACATTCTCTCAAAGTTCTCTTGTCTTGCTTTTGTGTTAGTTATCTTATTCTTTGCTTCCGTTGAGAATCTAAGCCTCTTTGCTTGGGTTTTTTCCAGGCTGACTTAGCCGCAATCACAGAGAAGACGACTAAGGTCGCACTTTCGAGGCGTTGAAGTTATAAGGGCGTGACAAGTGGTATCAGAACTAGTTTTGTGAGAGATGACACAACAAACCATGACGAGGTCCTAACAGTCATCGAAGTGATGGAGACTCGTGTTGTTACGACGAAGAAGCGAGGAAGCTCGAAGGATGTCATGACATTATTTGAGAAAAGGGTTGGTATACTAGAAGATCGGTATAATGAAATAAGAAGACTCAAGATTCGATTAAATCTCGCTTGGAGAAGCTGGAGTCTATGGAGGAATGACTTGGCCAGGAAACTCAATCACTCATCGACGAGATAGCATAGAAGGTTAATGAGTGTACCAGAGGCCTCGAGAACATGTAGGAGGGCTGAAATGATGTAGGAGGTGAAGGAGTTCAAGAGTGAGTTGCTTGTCTACAAGGTTGTCGTATTGAATGGGGTGACTGGGGAGGCGTAGGCACCTAGACTCAGGATCGACGTCCCTAAGCCGAAGGAGTTCAAGGAGAGTCAAACTGCCCAAGATGTGGAGAATTTCATCTGGGGTATGGAGCAATTCTTCCAAGGCGTGGGTATCAGGGATGATACCACCAAGGTAAATGTTGCTTCAAATTATCTTACTTATATCGCTCTCTTTTGGTGGCGATGTAGGTGTTTCGAAAAGGTAATTTCGGTCGAGACATAGGAGGAGTTCATGGGTAACTCAAAGAGCATTTTTATCCGAAGAATGCTCTGTTCGAGGCTCGAGCAAAACTGAAGCAATTGAAACATGATCATACCACCATCTTGGAGTATGTCAAGAACTTCACCGAGATCAAGATGTAAATTCCCGACTTAGGTAAGTCAAAAGGGTTCTTTGCATTCATGGACAAACTATAACGTTGGGCCAACTTAGAGATCCAGAGGAGAGAAGTGATTGAACTCTCAAAGGCATTAGATGCAGTCGAGGTCATTGCCCTGTTTGAAGTGAAGAAAACGGACTCTCTCAAACCAAAGGTAAAACCCAAAGGTAATAGTGGGGGAGAGAAGGCCAAATGAGCTTCACACAAGCCATCAGGGGGTAATGGTAAGCAGAATGATCGACCCAATAAGCTCTACAATCCTTGGGAGAAGAATGGTGACTTATCGTGCTTCAATTGTGGAGGAATCACATGAAGAGGGATTGTCCTCAGCTTGTGAAAGTTGCTACCATCAAGGAGAGTGATGGGGAAGAGAATGAGACCTTGAAGTTTGGTTCCATCATTAGTTCCATGGAGATCAAGAATGGTCGCAAGAAGAAGGGACTGATCTACGTAGACATCACTGTGGCAGGCCAAAAGATAAGTGCACTAGTGGACACAGGTGTCTCAGAGTTGTTCTTGTCCGAACAAGCTGCCAAAAAACTTGATCTTCATGTGGAGAAGATAAGTGGGTTTATTAAAACCGTCAATTCCAAGGAGGTTTCAATTGTTGGGGAAGCAAGAGGAATCAAGCTCAGCATTGGAGGATGGATCGGGAAAGATTCTACAAAGGTAATCACACTCGATGATTTTGACTTTGTTATTAGGATTAGTTTCCTTGATCGGATTCATGTGTTCCCCTTTGTCGTTTACCGATTGCCTAGTAATTTGTGATCCGAAACACCAATACATTGTTCCGGTGATTCGAGAGTCCGAAGTCGATGCCAAAATGTTGTCTGCGATCCAGATCTCAAAGGGGTTGCGCAGGGATAAACCCACATTTGTGGCTTTATTGGTGGGAGTTGAGCCCATAATGACTGACAAAGTCTTGAATAAAGTGGGACTAGTGTGTGTAGAGTTTAGGGATGTGATGTCAACTGAGTTGCTGAAGTGTTTGCCACCGAAGAGAGAGGTAGACCACAAGATCGAGCTCGTACCAAATACGGAGCCATCTATTAGGGCACCCTACCGTTTGGTCCCATCATAGTTAGAGGAGCTTCACAGACAGTTGAAAGAGCTCCTAGATGTGGGGTATATTCGACCGTCAAAGGCACCCTTTGGTGCACCGGCGCTATTCCAAAAGAAGCATGATGGCTCCCTTCGAATGTGCATCGACTGTCGAGCTTTGAACAAGCTCACAATAAAGAATAAGTACCTGATCTCATTGATTGTCGAATTGTTTAATCAACTTGGTGGTGTGAGGTGGTTCACCAAGTTGGATTTACGGTCTGGATATTACCAAGTCAGGATAGCCAAAGGTGATGAACCGAAGACTGCTTGTGTGACGCGCTACGATTTATATGAGTTTCTTGTGATGCCCTTTGGCCTCACAAATGCCCTAACTACCTTATGCACATTGATGAATAAGGTACTACAACCCTTTCTTGATCGTTTCGTTGTAGTTTACCTTGATGACATTGTGGTGTATAGTAAAACCTTGGAGGAACACGTTGAACACTTGAGAATGGTGTTCCAATTCTTACGAGAGAACGAGCTCTATGTCAAAGAGGAAAAGTGCTTGTTTGCGCAGAATGAGGTATCGTTCATAGGCCATGTCGTTGGAGGAGGCAAGCTCTAGATGGATAGGGACAAGATTCAAGAGATCGATAAATGGAAGCCACCTACCAAGGCGACCGAGTTAAAAGTATTATTGGGATTAGCCAACTACAACCGACGATTAGTGAAGGACTATTCCAAAATTGTCACACTTTTGACCAAGTTGCTCAATAAGGATAAGGTGTAGGAGTGGAGCACGGAGTGCCTGGAGGCTTTTGAAAAGATCAAGGAAGCCATGATGAGTGAGCTCGTGTTGGTCTTGCCAGATTACACTAATCCTTTTGTAGTTTTCACTGATGCATCTGACGTTGCCATTGGTGGAGTCCTTATACAAGAGGGACATCCGGTTGTATATGAGAGCCGGAAGCTCACTGAGGCAGAGAGAATATACTCGGTTCATGAGAAGGAGATGACTGCAGTGGTGCACTGTTTACGCACTTGGCAACACTATTTGCTTGGTTTCAGGTTTGTGGTTTTTACCGAAAATGTTGTAAATAGTTATTTTCTCACCCAAAAGAAGTTTTCTCCCAAGCAGACTCGTTGGCAAAAGTTTGTTGCCGAGTTTAATTTTTTCATGGAGTACAAGTTAGGGAAGGCAAATTGTGTTGCGGATGGCTTAAGCCGGAGGTATGCCATCAAGACTGTGGAGGGTACTTTGCTCGAAATGATCAAAGAAGGGTTGCCCCATGACCCTGTGGACGAAAGAATCATTGATGGAGCCAATGAGGGGCGAACTAGGGAGTTTTGGCTCAAGGGGGAGTTGCATTATTATCGAGGACATTATCTCTTTGTGCCTCGATATGGAAAGTTGCGCAAGGAGCTCTTGAAGGAATGCCATGATTCCATTCTTGAGCGCCCATGGGAGAGTATTTCCATGTATTTTATCATTGGTTTGCCCAAGACTGATGGACTTTTGAGTATAATGGTTGTGGTTGACAGGTTTTCGAAGTATGTGACGTTTATTCAAGCGTCTAAGGTGTGTCGAGCCATGGAGGCGGCTCAACTTTTTCTCAAGCATGTGGTGAAGTTTTGGGGGATGCCGAAAACCATCATTAGTGACCAGGACACATGGTTCACGGGAATGTTCTGGACAGAGTTGTTCAAGCTGATAGGATCGAACTTGAACTTTTCTACCGCAGTTCGAATCGGGTGCAAGCAATAAGATACGAATATGTTTACAACATGATTAGTGATAAATTTTTGTAAGATTTTGTATTTAAGTAGATGATCATTAAGGTCATATCTTCGTATTCAAAAAAAGTGTGGAGAACATAACTTTTATTTCCATGCTTTGTCTTTGTTTTTGACAACATGTATTATTGTTCTATTCTGGTAGTCTGATGTTAGTTTTCAAATATGTTTTGTCGCATTTAACCGATTCTTGTAAATGAGTGAATCCTTTGACTTATGATAAGTAATCACTTTGATGATTTTCTGTTAAGTTCATTTA